GCAGCTTTAGGTAACTCTTACTGGCACTCAGAGTGTATGGCTGTCTTACTTTCCAAATCAGAGCATATCTAGTAATTTATTTTAACCATATATATGAATAATAGATTGACTACAAAAGTGTGTTTTTTTTCTCTCTCTCAGAATTTTGTAAACACAGCTCCATAGGCTTTTTATCATTTACTGATGAAATGACTGGCAGCCTAAATCTCTTTCCTCTTATATTAAGTAAAATTAAGTAAAAATGTACCCTTATTTGGAGCTTTTAAACTTTTATCCTTGAAATTTAAATATTTTACAGGAGAGTTTTATATGCATATATACTTTCTCCCCGAATATTCTTCCCCAGTACTTCTCAGAACCCATTAGATATAAAGACTTGAGACAGTATTCAACATTAGGAAGTTCTCTACCCACCCCACACCACCCCAGCCCCTGTATTTTTTGCTCTTTTTTGTTCTAGGAATTCTGTTTCATAGGTGTTGAATATCCTGGCCACCTCCTCATCTCTAATCGTTTTCGTATGATTTCTTTGTCTTCATATTTACTATCGATCATGAGGACATATCTTTTTTTTAAATCACTAGTTTTATGTGTATTTTTCTACTTAATACCTCTATTTGATTATTTTGTCTGTTTTGTTTTTCTTTTTTTCCCCTCTCTAAACTCATATTCTCTACTCTTTTTTTCCCCCAGGGCAGCTTGCTCTTTTTTAAAAATGCTATTCCTCCCTAGTTTCAACAGAAATACTATTTATCATTTTTCTTCAACTTCTGGTGTTTTTTTCTTCATTAATTCTGTTTCACTTGGGGCTATTTTTGGCCAGATTATTGTTTCCCTTCAGTATGACTGGTCAAGTTTTTCATCAGTTCTTAGGCTGGGTGATTCTGAGGGTGATAAGTGAGCCAGCAAATGAGCTCCTCACAGAGCATTGGGCCAGGAGCAGATGCTCGGGGAGAGAGGAGGACCCCTTAATGAGTGTAGTTGTCGAACACTGGGGTGAACTGCCTACAGTAATGAGAAGAGTAGCCTGGGTTTTGCCCACTACAGGTAGAAGTTCATCCAGACTCCTTTGGTTGTATGCCACATTGAAATATCTGGAACATAAATAAAACGGGATTAATTACTTTATGTTCCCTTGGATTGAGTATAAAAGATTGTGTAATCTGCTGCTTTTTAGTTAGTCATTTTGGCACTCACTTGTAATGAAGTTAACTATGATACTGGCAAAAGTAATATCCTGAGTTTTAAGCAAAGAGCTCCAGGTACTAACAGTCCCCTCTTTATTAAGATATTAGTTGATGAGTGTTACTAGCAAGCACCTGTGAACTGTTTTATAAAAAATTATACTCTATTGAACAATAGATAGAGCTCTTGTATACCAAGCAACAAGTTTTGCAAGATCCCCAAGAGCCCTTGATGTAAAAATTGCTGTTTTTCTGATATGCCCCTAGTTTTCTTTCAGCACCTCTTTGTCCCTCAGACTGATAATCTCAGTACTGTTATCTCAGAGGAGAGGTTCCCAAGATCCAGGAACCATTTTTTTCATTCCATCCGTAGTATTTTCCTTTATTTCAGAAGTACAGGCTGTTGCTTATCTTAGTTGGCTATGTATTTGATGTATTCCTATCTTGGTACTTTTCATAACCTGCTTTTCTCATTTGGTTAGAAATAGAGTACAAATTATGATTTGGATTGAAGAGGGTAGTGTGTGAGAAATTTTAGTCTTCTGTCTTCTGTTTTTGAGAGCTACGTTATTAAAATCAGAAACTAAAAACCATAGGGCCCTAGTATAAGAGGAACATTGTGGGAAACAGGAAGACTTCCCTTCCTAGCCTTCTTGGAGCTTTAAATCTCCTTGAGATAAGACAAAGACATATGGAAAGAAAAACAAAAGCAGGGTTTAGATAGCCTATGACAAATTTTATTTTTACAGAGTACTTGCATAGACAGTGCTTTGCATGTGACAGAAAAGAGAAAACATAAGGCAGTTGACATTTATAGAGAAGAGGAGAATGATGCATGGATTCTTAGGATGAGAAAACTGAAAAACCCATCCTCTGCGAAGGCAGGCACCATACCATGTCTGCTCACCACTGCCTGCTACTCAGTGCCCCGCTGTCCCTGGTAGGTGATAGGCTTTCAGTTAATGTATATTGGATAAGCAAATGTCTGTTTGTGGAACAAATTGAAGAGTGCCTTGAAGGAGATAATTTATTTGGGCAGAGGTGAAATGAAAAGGCTTGAGGAAATATTAGGAGGTAGAAGTAATGGGTGACTGAATACATTAGAATACTAACCTGGCTGAAGCTTGGAGAATTAGCAGGAAAGTTCTGAAGAATAAGGCTGTTAATGGTAGGCTGGGGTCAAATTATATAAAGTTTTGGTTGCTAGACTTAGGAGTTTGGGATTTGTTTTTTTAAAACAAAGTGAGATTTTTCTAAACAGATGGTGAGATTGTCAAAGTAGTGGTTTAGGAATACAGTCTGAAGTGATTGTCTTCAGGTTGCAGTGAGGAAGAGACTGGAGGCCAGCTTGGATTCTGATTACAGTGTTGGATAGGAATTCTTTGGCCAGTAGTCATGCCCAATAAAATTATTAGTATTTTTATAGTAGTATATTACATATGGGTGCTTTTTAAGCCCTGGTGATTGAACATAATGACATAGCTGTCTCTTTCAGTATTTATTTAATTTTCCTTGGCATTTTGTTATTGATCTTCATGGCTTTTCTGTGAGATCATGGTATAAATTTTGAATACATTTGTTCTTATTTGCCTTTTGTTAATGTCAGGCATAGCACAGGAGACATTCCTTGTTGCTATGCAACTACTGAATTCAATATTTAATATTAATAAAACTGAGTGACATTAATTCAGTTAACAGAGGGAAGCAAAATATAGTTTTACAGTGTCTGATCGGTACTTGTAAGGTTTAATGTATTGTTGCAAATATGAGCAAAAGGGAAGTGACTTGTTTACGGTTACTGTTTTGATCAAAATTAGTTTTAATTAAATCTTTGCATTTATGACCACATTTTTTCTTGTTTGATTCTTTTTTATCTTTCCTTCCACCACTTTTTGATGTGATTCAGTTTTGTTATTGATGAAGTTCTTACTCTGTTTTCTTACTCTTTCAGATTCTGTCATCTTTTGTAATTTTTAAAATTTTATCTCCCAAAGCTTTTATTTGCTTTTTTCTTTCGTAGTATTTTCTTTTTCTGTATTTGCATTTTTCCTTTTCAAGAATTTATGCTTAGCGTGCACATTTGGAATTTGTTATTTTTTCATATAAACCTGTGTGAAAGTGTCTTAGATTTGCTCTTCAGTATGAGCCACCTGTAATCCCCTTTAGTTATTTGCAGTGTGTACTTGGTACTTTTCAAGATATTGAAATGCTTTCATTAATATTTGTGAAGTCAGAAATCCATTTAGGGGGTAAGAGGGATTTAGAGTTGGAGGCAGGGATTTATTTTTTTTTTAAACCAGTGTTTAATAATATCTAGTTTGCAGGGCCAACATAGACAGTATCTAGCATTTCCTTCTCATCCTTTCAGCACCATTTCCCTGCCCTCAAAATCCTTAGCCCAACACTTTCTCCTCCCTAGTGTGGGGAAGAGAGGCCATAGTAACTTAGTGGACAATGTTTTAATTATAGTAGGCAAATAATAAACAGACATAGATACCTCCTATTTGCTTGAATGGATTGTTTGTTTTTGCTAATGTCCTTGGAGTAATTTTGAGGGAAAGAGCAAAGGAGAGTCAAAAAACAATTGATCTTTAATAATAAATGAAAAATCTAGAATCTAGAAATCTAGAAAATAGTATAGGAAAACCAACTCCCTAACTACAATGTAGATAATGCAAACTCTAGAGCTTACTTTATTGAAAATGATAACTTAATACTAAGGACAAAGAAATCCTTTACATTACAATGTTACTCTTATAACCAGATAAAAATACTGTTTCTAGGGACCGTCTTTTGTATTCTCTTACCTTCCAAACCCTTTATGGTGAGTGTATTTGTGGTTAGGAAATATCCCTGTTCATGGACCTCTACCTGGCTAATAGTATTTTAAGTTAGTGGTTCCCTCACTTTTGAACATAAAAGTTCTTTTTAACAATTAAAAAAAGTTTTAAACCCTTAAGTGTGATAGTAGATTGTGTGACAAAACTCAGTGTCCCAAACTACTAGGAATACAGTAACACTTTTTATATTTTCTTAATTATAGTAATATTCCTATGCATTTGAAGAGTAGCATGTATGCTGAATGTACAAGACATTAATTCTTTCTAAAGGTCATGCTTAAATACATATGGATTAATGGACCACTTATAACTATTTGAGCTACTGACGAAGTCTATGACACATAGTTTGGGAACTAATCCATTTATTTCTATTACGTTGTATAACGGTACAGTCTGATTCCCTTCTGCATTTTTCTCACTCTTAATAACCCGTAGAAAACAGCAAGATGGCAAAGATATTTTTAATTTTTGATTGAGTTGATTGGCAATATTTGAGTAATAAATCAGGAAATTTTGTTTATTTTTCATTTTCTACTGTATACTGGTAGAATGTGATAATAGTTTAAAAATTTATGTACAAGTATATTTGAATTCTCCCTCTCTCTCTATATATATATGTATGTATGTATAATTAGTTGCTCCTACTTTCATAAAGGAACCCACAAGTAGTTATTGTGGCAATATGAAATAATTACAAAGGTCTTTTCATTTAAAATGGCCTTTTTTTTTAAGTGATATTGTCCTTGAATGTCCTTGAAAATGCTCTGAATTTGTATTGAATGTTAATCATTGACAAAAAGTGCAAATGCTCTTTTTAGGTTGGTCGTTGACACTTTCCTCAGCATCCCTTCAGTAATAATCTGGGGATCCTTGAAAACTGGAAGGAAACACATTTTTTTTCATGCAACAAGATTAATAGTTAATTACAATAGGGAATATTATTTTAATAATGGGGTTTTTTTTTTCATCCTTTCAGGGTTTGAAAGTATTCTGGAAGGGCTGTTTGGACCTGCATTATTAAAAGATCTCAGTTTATTTAAAGGTACTCAAAAATTTTTTTGGTATTTCAAATTCTTCTTGGTGACATAAATGATACCTTGGTGTTTTAAACCTCAACCTCCTTTTTATTCACAGTTTTATGAATGGTTAAAGCTATATCCATGTAAGCATCTTTTTGTGTATAGTTGATAATGCAGATATATGTATGAACAAAGTATATTAACTAGTGAGCAGTTATTGCAAATAAGGAACCTATCTACTATTTAGTGAGGGGTGTTTTTGTTGTTGTTAAAATAAGTAATATTTTTGAAATTAGCTCTTATTTGTCTTCTGAAAAATCCTCTTTTGTGACTATTAATTTGTTATTCCTACTGCTTTTGCAGACTGTGAACCCGAAAGCATTTCTGATTGGACTTTTGATGAAAATTGTCTGTTCTGTTGCTTAAGAAGAGATAAAGTAAAGGTAACCAAGAAACTTGTGAAACTTGTATGGTATTTTATAGTTTTTATTTTTCTAAAATTTGGTTACTTTGTTGGAGAATTTATAGGAAAAACAAGGTATGATTCCATATTTATTTATAAAGGATTTGCTATTAACTCACTTTTGCAGTTTAGACTGTTTCTAGTCTGTTGATTAGCCTGTTGAGAAATCTATCCCAACATGCATTGTTATATTTATATAGTTCACTAGGCAGAGTAATTAGCTAGATCTCAGACTGTTGTGTTTATTTTAAATATGAAATGTATGATAATTCATGTAATGGGAGTCATTTGTACAGAAAGAACAATAAGATGGATCTGGATCAAGGAATTGTTAATTCATGTAGATGTATAATGGACTGTGGTTTATTCTTTAGTGTAAGATATTTCTTCGTAATATTTGAACATGGGTAGTGTTTGTAATCAGTTGTAGAAATTGGCTGTACCTTTGGGTTTCTGTAGTTCTATTGCTTTGCATTAAACAAATAGAATTTTGGTTTAGAAACATTTCAACTGTTGGAAACTTTTATTAATAATGGTTTACTGTCTTAATGTTTCTTTTCATGGTATTTCTTTTCCCTGTTTTAAAGCTTTGGGAACATTTTGAATTCTTTTCTCTCCCTTGTACTTTCTAACTTTAAATCATTGGCCAAGTTCTATCAGTTCTTCTCTCATACTGATTTTCATGCTTTTTTTTTCCCACAGTCATCACCATAGTTCAAATTGTTAGCATTAATTCTGGGCTACTGAAATAGGATGATTGCTCTTAGTTTTCTTCAGTGTGTTAAACACTGCTTCACGAATAAAATTCCCCTACTACTACCTCCCACCGACCCTCACCCCTTAGTAGTGTGGAAATGTTATTCTGTACTCAGTCTCCAGTAACTTTACCATTGTCTTCAGGATTCATCAGCCTAACGCTCAGGGTACTACCCTTCGCAGTTCAATCCACTTCTATTTCTGATGCTACCCTATACAGTTTTCTGTTCTGTCAGCTAAACTGGTCTGATCATTTGTAGTAAACAACATGCTTTTACCATTTGGACTACACCATTACATACCTGTTGTTCTTTATAACCTGAAATCCCCCTTGCTTTTGCTGTTAGCTTAAGCCTCTGCCCTTCTTATAAATGTCATTCATCTGTTCTTAACTGCTCTTTCAACCATTCACGCTGTTGTGGTAAATATTATTACCAGTTATTTATCAGTTAATATTCTGCCTTACTTTGTTCATCCTTTTCAATGTTTGGATCTTGTGTTCCTGACTACATTGTCAGCCTCTGAAGACTGTTAACCGTGACGTGTGCTGCTTTGACCCCTGCATGTAGCCACTCTACCATTATTTACTATAGTTGACAAGTTGCTTTAAAGTCAAAAGCCAGTTTAAGAGCTTTTTAGTGTTCTTCTTTTGTGGTATCTTTATCTTGGTTAGTACATGAAAAAGTTGTTGCTTTGACGATCTAGGATGGACTGTTTTCGTTGAATTAGTGAGGAAAGTGTTTTGAAATGTATTGTGACTTGAAACAGACCAGAAAATTAAGCAACTACCAGTGAAGTTAAAGTTCATTATTTTAAACTGTGTGTCTCTCTGTGTGTGCGCACACACATGTTACAACTATTTATTGAACAAGTTATTTAGTAGGCATTTTGGTAGCATAAAAGGAGCCAATGATTAATTGACTTTTTTTCAGAATAGAATTGGGAGGAAAGCCCTTCTATATGTTCAGTAATCGAGTAAAGTATATTCTTATAATAGGATTGAGTTTTCCATTGCTGTATGAGGATAAAATATTGTATGAATATTTCTAGAAGAAAATACAGAAATATCAAGGCATGGAACCATGTAGTATTTAACCGTGTAGTTCTTACTTTTTGTAGTTCTACAGTTTTTAGTTGATATTCTAATTAGAAAGAATATTTCCATTTGACAGCTCAGCTGGATCTGGGAAAGCAGTTTTTCTCCATTCGACATTTCACTACCTGTCTTTGGCATTTAGTTTTTTCAGAGACAATCATAATGTCTATATTGGAAAATAGGGAGAGAGAGCCTAGAAAATATAAATTGTCAACTATATAGCTTCAATTGTGTTAGGTTTAAAGTGATTGTGTTGGAACTCTTTGTAGGCACTTGGAGCATCTCACTGGAGAAGGACTAGAGTCTGGAAATTAAATATATCAGCTTGGTTGAGGCTTGCAGTTTAAGGCTGACATAAGATTCCAAAAAAGAAGGAAATATCTGGAGAGTTTGGTAGCAGCCAATAGGTGGCAGCATAGAGCACAGTATTGGAATCTTAAGTTTGAGGTTGGCATGATGAGATATCTCAATAATGTTTGAAAAAGCTGTTAGAAATATTGATTTGATATTTGGAAAGGAGGTGGAGGTTATGCATATTTTTTAGTTAATTTTATTTTCATTGGATGCTGACTGTTAGAACGGATAAAATAGTACATTATATTTACTTTTAAAAACATCTAGGTGAGCAGGGGCGGGTAATAGCTCAGTGGTAGAGCACACGCTTAGCAGGAATGAGGTCCTAGATTCAATTCCCCAGTACCTCCATTAAAAAAATTTTTTTTAATAAAAAATAATAAACTGAAAAATATCTAGGTGAAAAGTATGAAGTAGCATCTTTGGAAAACAGAACAGGAACTCACCTAGAGATTAGCAAAACAATTGTTCATCTACACTTCAGCATTAGAAAATATAATTTGTAAGGGAAAGACAACTAACATTTTTTGAGTGTCTACTATGTGTCAGTTATTTTTATATGTTCCCATTTAATGCTCAAAACAATAACCCTATAAAGTTGATTAAAAGCATATCAGTTTTATAAAGAAATGGGAGGGGTCAGAGAGACTAAGTTATGGGCAAAGTCATAGAGTTGGAATTTGATCCATGTTTTTAGAATACATGTTTTGGTAACAAAACTAGAAACATAGACATGGAAATTGGTAGAGCAAGAATTAAGTAGTACTTGCAGTTACTCAGTTTGAAAGAGAGAGAGACTAAGAGCGTAAATGGACATAAGTATATTTGAAATAGCCAATCTTAGCTGTACTAGGAGTCTGTTAATGACTGACTTCCTGCCTGCCTTGCTTGCTCTCTTTCCTTCCTTTTCTGTTGGTTGGGCATGTAGGCACTCTGAAATATTTACTAAATGAGCAACTAGGAAGTCAGTATGCTCAATAAAGTTGGATAATTTAGTATTAATAGCTGACTGTTTTGAGCACCTACATCTGCTAAGTATATATACAAAGTTCTTTGTGTATTTTTCACTCATGAGGCTTTTATACTTCTCTCAGCTTCCTTTTGAAGTAATTTTAGACTTATAAAACAGTTGCAAAGATAATAAAAAGAATTCCTCTATACCCTTCATCAAGATTCCCCAGTTAACATCTCATGTAACCACAGTACAGTTATAAAAATCAGGAAATTAATATTGATACAATACTATAATCTGTAAACCTTTCAGAATTCACCAGTTATCCCAGAAATGTTATTTTCTGGTTCAGGAGTCAATCTAGCATCACACTTTGTATTTAGTTGTCATATCTCCTTATTCTCCTTTAGTCTGGAATAGTTCTGTTTTTCTTTGCCTTTCGTAACATTAACACTCTTGAAGAGTACTGGCAAATTGATTTGTAGAATGCCCCCTCAGTTTAGGTTTGTCTGATGATTCCTCATGATTAAATTCAGGATATGCATTTTTGGCAGGAATTTTACAGAACTGATTATGTGTCATCCTTAGTGCACCATATTTGGGATGCACATGGTGATGTTTGTTTTGATCAGTTGGTTAAAGTGGTGTCTGCCAGTTTTCTCTACTGTAAGGTTTCTATTTTTTTCCTTTTTGTACTTATTAAGTATCTTGTGGAGATGTACTTAGAGATTTTGTAAATACCTTTCTCTCATCATGCTAGTTTCTTATCATACATTAATTTTAGCATCCATTGATGAATTTTGCTTAAAAGAATTACTATGGTGGTATTTACCAGATGATGATTTTCTATTCCTTCTGCCTTTGTTAGTTGAAATCCTACTGTAAAGAAGAGGATTTGACTATTGAGAACCCTTTGAGGTTGGCTCCTCATCTTTTTTTGTTGTTGTTGTTTATTACATGTTTCTTTACTTTTTGGCACCAAAAAACGTTGCATGCGTATCTTCACTTTCGTTGTTCCAACCCTGAATTTCCCCAAGGAATCCTAGTTTCTTTTATTTGGAAAATTGTATAAGAGAAGAAGGTACTAGATGTACTCATTGGTACTAGAGCATCATTGCTCTAGGCCTCCTCCGTTGTCTGCGCTAGGATATATGTATGTTTACTTCAATATACATACACATACATCTTCATTTCTTTCAATATCTATTAGAAATTATCTTGTGAGGCTTTTATTAATTGCAGGATTGTGTTGATAGTATGAAGAGCTGATCCAGTAGTATTGAGAGAGTATTGGAGAGACGGGAAGAATAAAAAATTACTTTCACCAATTAATATCCCTAAAAATGGACTAATTCTAAGCAATGAATCAATCTGGTAATGGCTGTTCTCGTACATGACTGAGATTAGAGATAGCTGTCGTAAACAGCGTGGATGTTTTAGTAACTAAGGATGATGCAAGATAGGATGTCATGCCAAAATATAAAATGTTTATGCTCTTAAAAAGCTTATTATAAGACTGTTAGTAAGTTTAATATTTGACTAGCATATTTGGAGAATGTTTTAAGAAGTTATGACTTGAGCTACATTTTTGAAGAATACATAAATCTGGATAAGCAGAGAAAAGAGGGGCACATCCTAAGTGGAGCAGAGCATTTATTTTTGTAAGTAACCGGCAATAAGACTGGAGTCAGATCATCAGTTTATTTCAGTACCCATCTACCCTCAGGAATCATGTAATTAGATCCTTTTCAAATTTAAATTAGTCTATCACATTGTGTTTACTCTCAACATTTCATAATTTCCTGTTTCGTGAGTATTCCTT